AAAGAAAAGCTTGTAGTTAGTTCAAGGACTGCTGTAATTTTCATGGAGGCAGACTGCCACATCTCTTCTCCCAGGGAGCAGCTGGTGGGTTTGAACGACTGACTTTTGGTTTGCAGCTGAGTGTTTTAACAGCTAAAGCCACTAGGGCTTTTTGCATAATGCATAGACCTTATAAATTCCAATTGGAGTTTGATCAAGTTTAATATTTCTTTTTCACTCCAAGGACCTACCACGGGTGAACGTGGAGCAGACACTCAATATAGGTGGAGATTGATGAGCTCTGGGATGATGGTTTATTCTTACAGTAGGAAATCCTGTCTAAAAAGTAGTCAGCATGATCGGGGAGGTAAAGGTCTCCAACAGCAGATTCTGCTGAAACATTTCTAAAGGTCACTGTAAATTAGAATGGGCTGCAAATGGCCAGCTGCCACATTTATGGACAAGACTGGACATAAAAAAAGTTTAGTGGTGAACACTTCCACACGTAAAATGCACTCAGTGCTCTGGGGAACTGAGCGTACAACAGGTCCGGAGTAAAAGAAAAATACATGGGATTGTTAAATATGACTTCCAGGTGGGCCCTGGCTTCTGAGTTCTTTGTACCACTCTTGTCCGTATGTAAACTGTGAGACAGGTTGGCCGCTGACCAGAACCTGCGCTTGTCTGCATGAGGATTAGGAAACTTAGAGTGACGGCAAGCTTCATGTCTTCTCCCCTTTAGTACATGGAGCTGGGGGTAGAGAGGACAAACTCGTGGGTTGTTTGGGCTTTAATAGGCTACCATAGCCCCATCTTGCTGGTGCTCCCCAAATTGAGATTGGGTACTAATAAGTAGCTAAGTCTGTTTTGAAAATAGCTAGGATACTTTAAAAACGGGTCTCCACAGTCCTCTTTGACACATTGCCTTCTCTGTTCTTCCTAGTGTCTGAACACTTTCTCTCGGCTTACGACATCGACTGTAGTGTGGAAACCAAGAAGGAGGTGGTCCAGTGCATGGGCTCCTTCCAGGACGGGGTGGCAGAGAAGTGTGTGGATTATTTCCAGAGATTCCGACGTTCGACCCATGTGACGCCCAAGTCGTACCTGTCCTTCATCCAGGGATACAAGTTCATCTATGGAGAAAAACACACTGAAGTGCAAACCCTGGCCAACAGGTAGATGTGGAGTTCAAATGTGAGATTACAAGAGAGATGTGGTTTTCAACAAGGACCAGTTTCGCTCTCCACTCCTCAGGGGCTAAGAGACAAGGGCTAAAGATATTTTTCATTTTTATAGTGGGTAGAGGGTGGGTGGCTGACCAGAAGCCCTAGTGACACTGCGGTGAAAGCAGCCTGCGTGGCTGCTAACAGACAGGCTGGTGACACAAACCCACAAGCCACACCTTAGGAGGAAGATGTGGCAGCTTGTTTCCATAGAGGTTTACAGCCTTGGAAACACTACCAGGGTGGTTGTACTCTATTCTACAGGGAGACGATGGATTCACCTGTGGCAGTGAGCTTGGTTTTGGTCTTGCTGCAGAGAACAGGGATGCTGCTGAATGTCCTACAATGCACAAGGCAGGCCTTTTCAACAAAGGCTTATTCAACCCTCAAATATCAGTAGTGCCTAGATTAGGAACCATACTCTTAAATTTCTCCAGCGGATTGCTTCCCAACTTCTACCACGGATTGCAAAGGAGCCTTGGTGGCATAGTGGGTCATGAGTGGGACTATTGACTGTAAGGTTGTCAGTTCTAAATCACCAGCTGCTCCTGGGGAGAAAGATGAAGCTTTCTGCTCCTGTAAAGACTTACAGCCTTAGAACCCCATGGTGGTGAGGGTGGTGGTACAATTCTACAATTCTACCCTGCCCGATAGAATCATTATGACTCAAATCATTATAGCAGAGAATGAGTGAGATC